CTGGCGAAGATTATTGGCCGCATTCCGCCGGTGCCGGCAGTGTTCATAGGCGGATGCCTGGTGGGTTCAATGGACAAGGTCATGGCACTCAATTGCATTGGTTGACCTTCTCCTCATCCTCATAGATGTCGGCGCCTTGTGGGAACTGCCGTCAAAGGTTGGCTGCGGGGTGGTTAACGAACTAGTTCCGAGTCCATTTCATGCAAATATACAAAAATATATGAGAGTTGACCTTTTTTATTCTGCTCCATCTGAGCTGAGAAAAAGTTGTAGCTCTTTCCTTTATTAATTCGTTCCCAGTATTTCTCAAGCGAATTCTTTGAGGATGTCTGGGTGTGAGACAGTGGCGTCTCTCGGTATTTCATCGCCTCTTCTTTCTATGCTCCTCAAAGTGGGGAGTTTCTCCCTGCGCAGGAGACTATCCATTTGATTGCCCGTGGGTGAAAGACAATGACAGAGGTTGAAGGCGTCTCTTGCTCCGAGATGAGCGTCCCTTCATTGCACAGCAAAAATGAATGCAAAACACGAGAGATGGGGGGGAGAATGAACGGAGAGACACCAGATCTTACGTGGTTTCAGATAATCTTCGTACGTCCAAGGTTGCACAAGCGTGCCGCTCTTTAGGAGGGAGAATTGGCTAACATATACGACCAGAGGCGGTGCCCCCTCCCTCCACTCTAATACCACGGGGTAGGAAACCATATAGGAAAAATGACAATAATATCTCTAATATTTTTTTTTGATCTACATGCCGAAGACCCGATTTAATTGTTGTCCATACACCTCCGACATCTTTGTGAGACACGATCAACAAGAGTCACAGATCGGTGAGGATGGCTTTTTCGCCCATCTCTTGTTACCTAAACTTAAGCTGCTTGCACGGGTGCTTCTATCTAAGGCGGAAACAAGAAGTGACAAATAGAGGTACAGACGTGAAACTATATTGTGATATAGTGAAAATTTAACGACGATGTACGTTGATGTGCTGTTTCAATGTCAAACTACGCTTCGAGCTGTCTGTCGTTGACTCTTCTTTCAGATAGAAGTCCGTACATTGTGGTTGGAACATAGGTGCCTTCTATACCTCTATTTTACAATGATATATCTCATCAAACATGAAGAGGAGGGTCCCATAGAAAACAGATTTCCAAGTCAGTCGCTTTCAAAACTTAGTTCGTCTAATCTCACACTTCCCTGAAACAGCACTCTCTATGCATTGTGAACAAATCGCAAACCTCAACGCTCTCTCACTAACTCTCTACATCTATGTATGTTATAAGCTGCATGCTTGTTGCGTGTGCCACCATATATCACGTTGAAGTCAATTTCATAGAATAACAAGCCAATGGTTGGACATGATTTCAAATTTCAAAATTCGGCGTATTCTAATTTTTAGTTTGAACTGAACAAAATAAATAAATATTTCTACATGTTGAGGCCAGATATTTTGGGACTGAAGCCTAGCCATTTGGCAAACGGAACGATATTTCAGATATCTTGGGTAATCTATTTGCAGCCTGGAATCCAGATAAACATTTGGCTTGACTTGACTTATATGGTATATATATATCAACACTGCCATTCCCGATCTAACATTGGCGGCGTTATTTTCGTCATTTTATATATTGGATGAAGACAATGTTCACACATGCATCCTCTTGATCTATGGTCCTCACAAGTACATAGGATTTAAATTGGGTATGACTAATATAAGTGAAGGTATAAGTACTTGATAACAAATGCAAACAAACAAATAATAATGATTAATGTTTCGAGAATGTAAATTTCAGACATAAAATATCCAAACAAGCTAGTTAATCCATCATAAATAAAGAGCATTAGAATTATTCTCTTCCTGAGGTAGATTTTAGAACCAGCACCAGGTCACGGTTATTCATGAAATCAACTAGCTATTACGAGATCTCCATTCACACCCTAAGTAACAAGAGTCCTAATTTTCAAATCATGAACGTCCATGATGTCATCATGCTATCGTATATTCATATTAAGTGATTTTCAAGATTAGGGATCCAATTGATGGGTTCCATAAAGTTGGTGTGAATGAAAATAGGATGATGCTTTTTATAATTCCTGTAACATATGGCTACTTTCCCTTATTTAAAAGAAATATATTATTTTATATTTGAACATAATTTTTGTCTTGATATCCTATATACCTCAGAAAATTTAAAGTAAATCATTCTCTTCAAAGAGATTGGTAATGGAAATGGAATTTACTGGATTACTGAACATAGTAAAAATTATATCACTATTTAACTATTAATTCAATTTTCTGTGGAAAGGAAGAAAGTATTAGAGTTGTCAAGAATTATGGATGCAGATAAAATAAATAGAAACGGAGGTTAAATTCTTTTGTATAAGATCAGTGATGGGTTACATACAAAGAATTATTTAGTCTTATTTTTTAAAAGTCCAATTTCGTTACATGGGAACTATGAGTTGGAATAGTGTCTAAAATATGTTGGATTATACAAAAAAATACAAGAATGTTTAATGTTTCATAGATAGTTTTTTAAGTGATAGAAGAGTAATCAAGAGGGGTAGGGTGAATTTGTATTTTACAAATTCCTATTAGATTTTGTGAAAGATATCAGTTTTCATGATCATCAACTCTTTTGCAAGTAAGATAATACTGAAACTCTTATAATGATTTGTCTTCACTTACTTTGCTCTTCTAAGGGCCTTGAATCTACTTTTCACTAGCTTCTTTAGTTCAAGAACTAAACATTAAAGGTGTATCTTGCCTCTTCCAGATTCATGACTCCATGTAAGCTTGTGTGCCTAATAATTACTTCTATATTCATAGCTTAAGGTTAATGCAAGGGTACCTCGTGTTTGCTTGTAGATAGAAAATTCAATGTTGGTCTGAGAATACTTGGCACTCTATTTAACCCTATGTTATCTGACCCTTTGTAAAAAATGTAAAGTGAAACTCATATGTTACAACATGATTTGGGGCTTCCTTGAGTGTGAAACTTGTTCATCCACTATGAAAGCTTATATTTTGGTTTACCTACTATTATCTAATTTAAAGTTCTGAAAACTTCTCTTTAAGAATACTTATGATGAGTGTTGAGGTTAATTTGATTATACTGAATTTTATAGATAATGGTTGACAATGATTGCATGCAAATAGTCCAAATACATTGTGATTATTAAATTATTTTTACTTTTTGGCATAGAATTAGTACTAATATAATTATAACTCTCTTTCTGTAGATGAGTTGACTCATTGTACTCAATGGTTAATTTAATTTTACTAACAATCTTTATCTTTACTGGACAGTTTGAAAATATAAAATCTATAAATTTCCTGTCTATTTCCCAACATCAATAGGAGAGTTATTACAAAACCATGAAAACTACAGAAGTTGTTTTTTTAGTTTTGAAATTTCCAAGTGTTTTGGCTTTAGTAATTTTTCGAAGACACTACATGAGATACTCATCTATCTTCAATTTCTCCATTCATATTTTACCTTTAAAAGATTAATATTTTAATGAGTATCTTCAATTACATTAGAGTTTGGTGTTTGAAACTTGATTTATCTCAAGAGGTGAAATTGTACTGCTGATTTTTGCTGTCTTGAGTGGGCATATCAATATATGAGATTGTCTATCTCCATGGACCTGAGCTTTGACACTGTTTAGTCTCCTCCACAAAGCAACCGTACACACTATCTCCCCTATAGAGGACAGAAAAATATAGAAATAGAAACATGATATGCCAGACGATTAAATCACAAGTATTATGTAAATTTCATTAATTTTCATTTCTTGTGAACAAAGTGATGGACCACATCAAAGTATTTTTAATTTAATCCGTTCAAGATTTGAAGTTAAGTTGGATTTTAAATTTGCAGACCTAGCCCAACCTCAAGATAATATAGTGTCAATAATTATTTAAGAATATGTCTGGACAATTTTTGTATGCATTCTCGTAAGAAATGAACGATTGGCAACAAGATCTTTGTTGATGTAAACGGGTTGTTATGTGTGTATATCTATATACATATATACGATAAAGAGAGATAGGGAGAGAGTTATCCAGATAGAGAGAGAGAGAGAGAGAGAGAGAGAGAGAGAGAGAGAGAGAGAGAGAGAGAGAGAGAGAGAGAGAGAGAGAGAGAGTCATCCTCAGGATGCGATGAGGTTGAAAGAAGAATACCTTGAGTCAACGCGTTTACTAGCATCTTTATGACTACTACGATAAATTTTCCGGACAGCGACTTCTCGCGAAATGTGGTGACCGCAATATTCCATTTAGAGGAGCCATGGCTGACGTCGTTGACATTATCGGACCTTCACTCTATCTGGAGAACCGAGATTCCCCTCCCAGCCTTGGCAGTCGTCATCTACCTGCCGACTCCTGCGTCATCGATATCTGGGGCAATCAATGACACTCGGTGGGATCCTTTTCTTCAAATCTCATCCATAACAAGTGGGTCATCTTTTTCCGCAACTGGCAATCATACAAAAGAAATCGGTCCTGACTGAACGTAATAGTCAACCACGAGGGCAAATGTCAGAACAGTCTCATATTTGAAATTCATATAAAATACATGGTTTATATTTTATTTTGAATTAGATAAATGAATGCTAGACAACCAGAGTGGAGGGTTTCTCTTCGGCAATTTACACTGCCAATAACTTTAAAAATCAACAAAGGAATGTGCTTCAGGCCATTCAATAATTGGAATCACTTAGTCCTCCCCAGCGAACAATGTTGAAAGGCTACTTCGTTTTTTCTCTTATCCCTTGTTGAAAGAAAACTCTGTTGGATGTAGAGCAAGGCAATCTAAACGAGATCTACAATAGTATAATAATTACATGAGAAAAGCGGAATACACCCTCCTTATTGTTCTCATGCTTCTCTTCTTAATCTTATTGGCATATCAGATGGAATGATTTGATCGATCACCACCTGATCACATTTTACAGACCAAAATTTGCGACGAAGTCTCAAAGATGCCATTTTTCGATTAACCGGGTACTGCTAATCCCGATGCCTTCCACCTTATCACCTGCCTGGCAACTACAAAGATTGAAAACAAAATATATATTGCGCTTCCTCTCTCGAATCGCAGCGGATAAAGAACGCATCTTCATACAGAAAAATAAAGTGATGAGGATGAAACAAACAGTAGCCAAGCCTTTCTTCTCTCTCTTAGTTATCTCCGCTTGATATTTTCCCTTTTCCGTCTATAGATTCTCTCGGTATTTACGACAGCTAGATGAAAGGGGAAAGGCTACAATAGGGTTTAAGACAGAGGGTGGCCTGAGAGAACAATAATTGAAGATCATCCAGGGGACTACCACCTCAGCTGGTCTTATCGGCGATCGTCGAACACGAGTTCGCCGAACTTATCTTCTTTTCCATGGAAATCCTACCCTTTACATCCCGATCCCAGGCAGAAAAACACTTTCGCAGGAGCATATGAGAAGAACCGACTGAAGAACATTTTGGTGCTAGTGCAATTCGAGCAGATAATAGACGAGATACCCATTTTCCATAAGCAAACTACGCCTTCAGTAACCTTTGATAATTCCATAATGGGTAGTCATGCTGGGGAGAAAGTCATGACCCACCTTTCGTCGGAATCATATCTTCCCTCCTGTTAGTAGATAAGATCGGGCGAACGAAGAATCCAGAAAATATGACCGCAGACATTCTCGGTTCACTGTAGGAGCCCGAGAGAATCTGAGACGCACGTCAAAAGGCAACAGCAAAGCAGGGATGGGGAGCATGTTGTAATAAAGAGATGATCTCATCAAGATTGGGTTCACGGAATTCTCCCTATCCACCATACAACGAGGTAGTCGACGTTCCCTGAACTTAATCCGGGATTCACTGAAAGGCGGAACACGGAAAATCATCTACTGTTAGCCACATTGTAGAGAAATAAGCTAATGATAGATCTCTTCATGCGAACCGTCAATGGTTATCTACGAAGCTCCTGGATTGGCACGTGGGCGCCGGTGAAAGAAAGACGGATGATTGAGAGCATCTGCATTGAATAGAGTGTGGACACCCACTCGAGAGCTTCCGCCGATGACGACGAAGAAGCGAGCCTAGACGCCTACAGACGACAGAATCTGCGTCTTTCCGTCCTCAGAACAGTTGACAGAAAGAGCATAGATCTCACAAATGCAGCTTTCCGTGCCATGAAACTTCTATAAATAGAGAACATTAAGAGCCAAGATCACCGACGGATCGGAGTCATCAAGCCACCAGTAGCCTCTCCATCAGGAAGTTTCTGCGAAGGACATCATATACATTATACGTTTTCTACAGTTCCATGGACCGCGTGATGTACTTGGCATCGCAGAAAGCAGTGGTTATCTTCAGCATGACCTTCTGCTGCCTCTGCCACTCAATGAAGACCTTCTTCTCCAACCTCGGCGTCAGCTACGACGTCCACGAGCTGGACAAGTCACCATACGGGAAGCAGATGCAGGTGGAGCTGGCGAAGCTTATTGGCCGCAGCCCGCCGGTGCCGACAGTGTTCATAGGCGGACGTCTGATAGGTTCAATGGACAAGGTCATGGCTCTTCACCTCAGCGGTGACCTTCTCCTTATCCTCAGAGATGCCGGAGCCATTTGGCTACTGCCGTCGAAGGCGGGCTACGGAGATTTTTAATGAGCCAGCAATGAATCCCTTGTCGGTATATAAAAATGTGTCGAGGTGGGTTAGACTTGTGTCTTGCTAATGGGTACCATACGGACGTACAAAGCCTGTGACAGTCCCAAAATAAAATGGTGCCTGCGGAGGGGATAACGATCACATTGTAAAGAAGTTAACGCGCTGGAGTATGTTATTCTGCTTTCATATCCGATCTACATGTAACTACTCTTGACTGCTCTTTAGAGTCATCTGGAGCGACACAATAATTTCATATAGACTGTTAATCTATCGAATTAACAACCAGATCAACGTCAGAGTATGCGACTACATGGAGGAGGTCGATGAGTATTGGACAATTCAGAAGATAATTCATCTAGTCCTCATCAACTTGAGGGGAGAATTCGCAAATAATTTTTGATGAAGAAACTTATTTTTACATGGGATTGCTTAAGTAATCCAAGTTTTCTATAAAAGGGACTTGGGATTTTTTTCGAAGGTTCTTGATTACTATAAGTGAAACCTGCTAAGTATATTATGTTTTATTTTAAATTTTTATTTTATGAACTCTAATTATTTAAGAATTGTGATATAAATTTTAAAAGATAAAAGAAATGATGATAAAGCATCAAAATAGTGATAGAATGAAATCGAGGGTTATTGAAAAGCCCTACAATTGGTTAGTTAATAATACTTATACTCCCATATTTACTCCTTTTATATTATATTCTAAAATAGCTCAGTATTGTGGTAAGCTCGAGAATAGTGGGTAGAGTTGACTTTTATTTGTTGATTAAAATTGATAGAAATGATTGAGATCACGAAGAATAAGAAATAAGAAGTGGAAGAGAAGAAAAGGGGCTGAGGTGTGAAATGATTTGTCAAAGAATGGATGTTGTCATGCGATCAAAGTGATTGTGTGATCAACTCTAATGTTAGTCAAAATCTATTTCCTAACTAAGAACATCTGACTCATCAGTTCTTTGAAACCAACTTGATTATCACCACTTCTCCTTCCTTAGTTTTATTAAGAGGAAGTGATAGCTGTTAGCTATGAGAGGAAATCTCATTAAGGATGAATAATTTGATGACAAATTGACAAAGTTTGACACATTTTTGATCACAAGGTATGGAACTTGGGACCCTTCAAACCCTACTAGGATGGCAATCACCTGAAGTTCCACTAAGATAAGCTAAGTTTTTCATGGTTGACACATAATATATATACAATGGTGGCCCTCTTTCTCTCTCTAATTCTTACAATATGATTAACCCTTAAATCAATGGTTGAGGCACTCCCTTCTTGTGTAGATGGTGGATCCTCCTTCACACCTTCATGTGTGCCTCTTGATAAGTATGTATCTTGGCCATTAGATCAATACTTCCTTTCTCTTGAGTAGACAGTGGATCTTCATCCTCACTTTTTAGGTGACGCTCTTTAGGTGATTATGGGCCTTACACCTATAACTCTTCATTTTTGGCTCACTTTACTTGCTCCCCCTTCCATACTTATGAGCTTTAAGCTCATAATTCTTCACCCAAGGCCCAAGTGTGATCTTGGTTCTATAATAAGCTGCAAGCTAATGTTTAATATATGAAGTTCATGTGGTTAGAAGACAGAATTATATCATGTTCTCATACGATGTACATTAGCTTAAAGCTCATAAGTATGAGCTTTAAGCTAATGTTTAATATAATTCAATGAGAAATGAATGGAATACATAAAATGTGTATGAATGTTGATGTGTGCTCTAAACATGAGAATTCATTAGTAAATGAATAAATTTGTCTTAAAGTCATGAGCTTTGATGTGGGATACCTCATATATAATGTATTATTCATGCATTATCAAATATTAAGGAGTACTTGTGTATACAACAATTGCAAAGCATTTAAGTACTAAATGAACAAACTTCAAGATTATTTGAAAACCATTTGTACTGATCATAACAAAAAAGGCAAATATTAAATTAAAGAACCAATTAAATAATAGAGAAAATCATGCATAAGGTTATAAGATTTGTGATTAGGTGAGAAAGTGATTTAAATCAAATCATGTCATTAATTTAAATAAATGCTATTAAATCATTTTAGGTCATGTTAAATAAGACTTTTAAATAGTAAAGGCAGATTTTGATATATGACTAAAAACATAATTTAGCTAACCCAAGTGATTAAAAAGCCTAAATTAAATAGGAGTTCTACTAAGATTGATGAAATATACAAGATTGAGTAAAGATGATGGAACAACTTTTCTATCCTCACATAACTTGTTTCTAAAAATGCAGTTTATTCCTATGATGTACAATTCTATTTTTCTAGGAATTAAAGTCTAAATTTTGCTTTTATCATACTGACTTAATCCTATGTCATAGAAAGACTCTTAAATTTCATTCTCTAAAGCTTCCTCCATATTTTTTGACTGAATTTAGAAATTAATGTACTGAATTTTTTTAAAAAATTCAATCTAGGTCTAGTTTGGACTCTTTCTCAGCATCTCTTAAAATTTATATCCGATGACTCTTAACATACTTCTATTCTCTGGAAAAAATCTCATTTTAAGAATTTTCTTATAATTTAAGAAGTATGCATCACTATTGATCGAAATTTTGTAAAATTTAGTTTGTAATAATGATTCATTATGCTCAATAGAGGCTTCTTTCTCATTTTTCTCAACAAATTTCACATTTACCATTTCGTTGACGTCTAATAGCTTTTTATACTTTCACTATGATTCTAATCATGATTTTATTCATAATATAATAAGCTTCATTTATTATGTCAGTTAAAAAGTTTTAAAAACAAATTATTCTCTATCAACATAATCCTAAAAATACTCAATGATGTTCTATTCTTCCTCTCAAAAATTTATTTTGTTGAGTGTTCTAGCACTGGAGAATTCATATGTTTTAGATCACTTTTATTTCATTCTCAATCTTATAGCTAAAAATTTTAAATTCTTCTAGAGTGTTGTCTTTTTTTTAAGAAGAATACCCATGTAAATTTAGAAAAGCATCACTTATCACAAATCCATATGCACTTCACCTAGACAAGATACTTTTAGTCTAAATGGATCCATGTGTTTTTCGAACGGTTGACTAGTTGTTATCATATCCTTTGACTTGTGAGTTTTTCTAACATGTTTTTCTTTAATATAAATGATACAATCAATGATTTCATCTAATGAAAATTTTAATTCTAATTTCGATAAGTTTCCAATTAGTCAAATGTTGTTGTCCTAATATTCTATGTCATAATTCCATCAAGTTTCTTGAAACATATAAAATTAGACATACATTTAAATTCAACAATTTATGAAGATAAACAACATAACATATTTTTTCATAGTAATAGTAAGAGTAATATAATAATTTTTAATTCTCTAGTACAAGAAAACAACTGATTTGAAAATAAACTTTATAAATGATCACAAAATTGACATATGTTGATTTGATGATGTCTTAGTCCAACTAACATAATATTTTTAATTCATGTATGTTATTTAAGTACATATATTCATATCCTATTATCATGTAATTTTTTTATTATATTAAAGGTTTTTTCAACTCCTCTTCAACAAATGGGACAAGTCACCTTCTCTAATGTAATGAGCCTTGTGTTGGAGTTAAGGTCACACTTAGATCAAGAAGGGATGGCTACATTGATCCATTTATATTCTTGACTTCCATTAACTCTTGATCATAATTTTAAGTGTTCTTGTTCTAATCCTAATTCATATGATTTTTATAAAATATTCTTGAAGTGATTTGACCCCATAAATGCTTCAAGAAAAACCTCATTCTTGGGTTTTACTTGATCAAATATTTATAATTTTTTTTTGAACAACCGTCAATTACTAATTTCAGCCCCCTCATAATTTTTTGTCGAAATCATCTTCTAAATTCATAAATTTAGGAGGCCAAAAATTGATTAGCATATTTAGCTTCCTTAAGTAATTAAATAATATGATCAAAAGTTTATGTCATAAATAGTGTAAAAGAATTTTAGTATGAGAAATGTATAAAGGTTTTGATGAAGAGATTCATTCCTCTTCTTGTATACATGTTGACTGAAGGTGCCATTCCTTGAATCTGATCAAGGAAGAACCAAGAATGATTGAAACAATTCTTTGACTTGTTGCCTTCATGAAGTCTGAGTAGCAACAAAGACTTCATAAAAAAATAATAATTTTCCTCAAAATTTTCTTCAAAAAAACTCAATGGAGGGCTTGAGGTCCCATCATAGATAAAGATGATGGTTATGAACTAATTAGCCATTAGAAAGAATATATTTATAGAGAACTCAGATTTGAAATTCTTCTAAAAAAATTTCAATCTCAGATTTGAAATATATATAATATTTGGAAAAATAATGCAAAATAATTTTTAATGGTTTAGTATCTTTAAGAAAATTTAATGCATGGTTCCATTAAAATGTAATGTCTAATATCTGATGAATATTCATTCAGTCCTCTAACAAGGATCTAATAGATAATGCATATCTATCTAAAATGATGATTTAACAATCAAAACTTACTCATTTTTTAAAATGAAATACAACCATCAAGTAAAAATATTGAATACAATATCTATATTTATAATCATAGCTTCAATGAGTTATACCATTGATGAATATTTTTCATTGTTTATTTATTAATATTCACATAATCTTGTATGGAAAAATAAGCAATATAAATTCAATTGATTAATGTGATATCAAAATCATTTAAAATCATTAAATTAATGTCATGTTGACATGATAAACTTAGTGCACTTTATATTTTATTTGTGTGTCTTAATAAAATATTTCTCTTACTTTAGTAGATTTCTTAAGTATTATTAATTTTCATAATAATACAAAAAATATATAAAGCTAATGACAAGCTTAACAATTGAATTTGGACTCAACCTTAAAAACAAAGATGATAATTAATAAATAAAAAATCTTCAAACCAAGTTTCAAATATATTAAATCTGAAAATAGTAATCTTCAAAGTAAGGAATGAGTAAATATCATTA